GAAACAGACTATCGCCGTTCGGTGTTGATCTTAGTGTCCATTTTATGAAACCTCCTAACCAAACAATTACAAAAAGGTTCATCTAAGTAACTCTGGATTTGGATGCTGAATATATCATGAATCAACTAAATGACATATATTGTTTATTTATGATTGATTGTGTTCTGTGGCTTATCAACCTTTTGCAGGTTATTTAAAGCCAGAAAATATTTTTAGATTGTGAGAATATTTTTTTTTGAGATAATAATGATTTAGTGACACAAGTGTTAATTAACCCATAGATGGGGGAGAAGAGGTGGATTCATACCTTTCCCAAGGGTATTTGTATGTAAGTGAATATAAAGAACCCAACTTGGCTCTCTGATGAATAATTCTGAGTCATTATACATTACACCACCTACATATCCAAGTTTACAGCACTTGGTATTCCAAAGAGGTTACTCATCAAGGTGCTGACCAGGCTCAACATTGCTTAACTTGGGTGATTATACCTCTCTGTATTTAGGCAGCAAATGGTATTTAAGGCAAATATTATTAAAGACAAGAGACATTTTGTGTTGATTAATTTTACTGATCATCTTTTTCAAATTATGAATAATCTTTCTCTGAACAGGAGGAAATTGTCTGTAGTTCAATTCTTAAGAAATATGATCAAAGCTTTTGACTTAAGAAAGGGTAGGTACAGACAAATGGTGAGTGTTGTGAAGGAGGCAAAAAGTGTTGTGACATGTTTTTATTTCTTTTAAATTTACATACATTTGAAGATGCAGGCTCATAAATTGTAATTGTTTTTATTTATAGATGATTGTTTTGTTATATGAGTATTGTTTTGAGGATGATAAGTTTTTTTTACTGTTTGATTTTGCTAGCATTTTGGTATTGTTTGTGAGTAGTTGTCTAATGTTACTGTGAGCCATATGCTGCTTATAAATGTGGCACTTGGATTTGATAGGTGAGTCTCTGTGAGACTGTGGGTGTGGTATACCCTATGTATGATGTTTTGTGTTTTTTATTTACAAAGAATGAGTGGGCAAGTATACTCATACATAACATTGGTCTTACATAGGGGGTTGGAAGTTTGAGATATATTATTTTTAATAACTAAGTTTCTATTTTTTAATTTTTGTAGTAAATAATGAATGATGTATTTATTTTTATTGACTGATTTTATATTTATTTATTTATTTTTCTTTAACAAAATCTTCTCTCATTTCAAAATTATTCATCTTTTCGTATTCTTGTATGATCAGCATTTCCAAATTTTGTTATAAAAAAAAAAAAAAAAAAAAAAAAAAAAAAAAGAAGCTGTTTCGACTAACTTCACAATTTCACCTTCAGGATAGAATGCAGTTTGGTCCTAAAACAAAGTTTAATATTATAAATCAGTTTTATTTGTACTTCTACTAAGTGTTAAATATTTTTTGAACATACAACCTTAACTTTCATACATCATCAATTCATAGTAACCGGGAATGATTCCCCAAGGGAGATAACTTCAGGTGAATTAAATATAATTTTATAGAGTATTTGCCTATTTATGTGGCATAATGGATATCAGCTTAGGATGAGAAATCGAAAAACCAGAGTTTGAATTCCAGTTACATGTAAATACCCTTTGGAAAGGTATGAATCCATCTCTTCCCCTCCCAGTTATGGGTTGAATAGCATGACAGACTGGTTTCTATAGCCTTGGTTGGCAACTAGTCTACCTCAGAAAGAAATGGCAACCTACTGCAGGAACATCTTCAGCTTAGCCGGTCATGAATCGAAAGAGACATGATTGCCCAAACATGTATCACAAATAATATAAATTCTCCAAATATGAAGTGACTTGTCATTGAACTTAAAGGCCTCCATCAGCAGCCTTTAAGCAGGTAACATATATACTCACATATCAGGTGACCTTTGAAGACCTAATTTTGAAGCTGATTCAACTACAGTAAATAGATATATAGCTTGGTCAACGGCATAACCAGGGCCAGCAGTACTTACACTAATTTTATATCTTGTGTATGATGCAACCCTCTTAAAATTAACTTCATATTAAGTCTTCAAAAGTCACAAGATACATGAGTATATACAGCATATAAAAAATGGGTTATACAAAAGTTATGCAATACCAAACAAATCTATATATTATTTTTATAATTTAAAAATAGGAGTAAATAGGTTCGCCTATCACCTGTTTCAGACTCCTTCCTGCTCTTTTGAACAGGAGTAGAGGTTTATCTCTTGTTTGCTGTTTAGGTTTGGGTTTCTGGTCCTTTCTACTAAGATCCTCATTTTCTTTCACTCCCACTTAACCCCTTGCATCTTAATGACATAATCACCTTGCTTGGAGTGAAAATAAAAAAAAAAAAAAAAAAAAAAAAAAAAAAATTTAATTATCAATTGCATGATGCTTTCATGAACGATACGTAAAACTACAACTGATAGACAAATATCTATAAAGACAGTTCTGTGGGCAGAGTCTAAAAGAATTGTCTCCCTAACTCTCTAGAGCAGTGATTCTTAACACCTGTGCCATACAATCCTCTTAAGTGTGCTGCAAAATATTGTCACAGCATGTGTGTGTGTGTGTGTGTGTGTGTGTGTGTGTGTGTGTAAGTAAGTAAGTAGTAATGGTACAGTATTAGTATTTTAATTAGTGAATAAATATTAAACTTTTTTATCCCACATTAGCTAAAAAGGCTTTATCAGTTTTATTGCAATTTTCTTATTTATGCAAATTAGACTTCTCAACCCTAAATGACATCAAAAATAAGAAGTAAGAAAAACTACACTTAATAAAGGCAAAATGAGAGTCTGCTTATCACACACTAGCAGTAGAGCCCGGCGTTGCCCGGGGATGTAACAGTAAGAGATAGATCAAACATTGACCATCATAAAGAGTGAAAAATAAAATTGACAAAGATTATTGTTTAAGGTTGACGGACACACATGTCTTAGTTTTGTTTTTTTTTTTTTTTTTTCACAAATTGGTCAAACCCAAACTCAAACAAAAACATTGTTTTCAATCATTATGAGTATACTGATTGAATAGAATTTTATTATAAACAATTGTCTTGTAAATGGAATTTTTAAAGCATTCTGAATGTAAAAAATAAAGAAAAAAGTGTGCAAGACAATAAGAAACACTACCTGCCAAAAAGCGAAGTTTTGTTGAAATCAGTTGAAAAATGTAGGAAATCCGATCCCATATATAAACAAACACACACAAACAACCTGGGTTTTATAATAAGTATAACTCGATATGAGTTGTCCCCCTTTCATTCCTGTGATGCCTCTTAATTGTGTTTTCAAATTGATTTCATGCAAAAACAATTGTGTTTTTCTAATTTTTGGTGCTGTCAGAACCACCGCAAGGTAATTTTATGTAGTGCTGTGAAGTTTTGTTGAAATTGGTTGAAATGTAGGAAATCTGATTCAATATATAAACGTACAGACACACAACCTGGGTTTTATAATAAGTATGATTAAACCTAACGTTGAACAAATCACTAAAAACACCAGGCAGATGTTTCACACTAAAGCTGAAAAAAAAAAAAAAAAAAATCAATGGTTTATTTCATAACATTCAAATGTATACCCTTTAAAAATTTTTCTAAGTGTGCCATGATATTTTCATTTGCTCCTAGGTGTGTTGTTGCTTAAAAAGGTTGAGAAATACTGCTCTAGAGTAACATGTGCTGCTGACACTTGACAACACCATGCATGTGCATAGGATGACAGCTAACTAACCTTGTGAAGCATTGCATTGTTCTGCCAAGTGATAGAGACCAATGAGATCAAAAGGTATGGACACTCCACTCAGTGATTGCATCATTGAGGAACAACAGGTCATAGTTCACTTTCTGTGGTGACAGGGAGTTAAACCTGCAGAGATCCATTACCGGTTGTTGGCACAGTATGGAGTACACACCATGAATCAATGGGTATGAGTAGGTAAAACACCTTAAAGCAGGAAGAACAAGTGGGCGAAAGAGGGTGTCATACCTTTTCCATCAGTATTTGTGTGTAAGCAACTACAACAAACCAGATTGGAATTAGAATCCGGCTATCTAAATCCAAGTCATCTATTACACCATCAATGCATCCAAGTTTACAGCAACTTGAATTCCCAATCAGTCACCCATCTAGGTACTGACTAGGCTTGACGTTGCAGTGATTGTATGAGAGCTGCTGTTTCAATGTGATATGGCTAAAAAAAAAAAAAAAATCAATTAAGAATAAACTGAAGAAAACCCCAAAGAAAGCATTTGAAAATGTTATTTCATGATATAATGTATTTGGCAGAGGAGGGGGTGTATCCAACATTTGATAATTTTGTGGTAATAAACACTTAAAATTTCCGGCAGTTTTGATCTCCATTTCTTTGCATGGTTAGCTCTAAGAAATTGTAAATGTAGGACTACCTTACACTTAAGTAAATTAATAATAATATTTATTAAGAATTTATTACAGGAAATATCTTGTTTTAAGGAAGCATTGTTGACAATTATGTATTTAGTTACATAAATAAAAATGATACAAATTTTGATGCTCTATATTTGTTGTTAGGAAACTTGGCATTACAGCCAAAGTATTCTAAAATGCTGACAACAAAGGAGAAAAAATGAAAAATACTTAAGTTAAACAAACTGAAGCTATTTCGTTTTTTGGGTTTTTTTTTTTTCTTTTTTTATTATTTCACACTCTTTCAATAATTTGCATATTCAATTATCCAGAATTTTGAATTAGCCAAGCATGTTTTTTCAACACCTGTCCCAAGATGTCTGGATAACTGAGGATATACTATAATGACATATACAGAAATTCACTTGGGTGGGAAAAAAGAAAAAGAAAGCCAACAGAAATGTTCCTGCTTTTATTTTGCTTATTTTTTCAATTTTAGTGTTTATATTTTTCATTTTCTTTACAAAAAGCAGAAAATCTAACTGTACAAAAAATAATATAGCTAACCAAGTTAAACGCTTTCATCAAATTGGGTATCTACCAAATTAAATAATAATTTCCATATCTCCTAGTTCTTCTTCTGATGGTAACTGAACTTTAGCAGGATCAATGAGGTCAGGTGATATCAGATCCAGGTCCTCACGTTCCCTCCGTTCTAGCTCCAAGTATGCCTCTCGTAAAGACCATTCTTGTAACCTGGAAACAAAAAAAAAAAAAAAAATAGGTAATGTTTAAAAGAATTCTGTTAAAAAAGAAGCTTTTTGGTTGGTTAGTAGATTTTATAACATGTCAATATGTTATTGTTTTTTTTTTAATTATATTAAAAATTACACTAACTGCATAGTCTTGAGACTCTGCTTATTAGAGTAATTTAGGCCCTGCCAAAAGGAGGAAAAAAATAATAAAAAGGGAGAGGAAAGTGAAGTACAGGCTTATGACTGATCAAATCACTTAGATTTGAAGCAAATTTGGGATATTGGTCAAGAAAAAAAAAAAAAAAAAAAAAAATTGCATGTTATTCTGAATAAAGCCCACAGGTAGTAGTAGTAGTAAACAACAGCAACATGCATTTTTTTTTTTTTTTTTTTAAAGAGTTCCAGTTTATATAAATTTTACTCTTTTATAACAAATTACAACTAATTTTACAGAGAGATAATTAAAAAAAAAGAAAAAAGTGCCATATGGTCAAACCATGCATGGATGATTGTGTCTCTTTCGATTAATCACAGACTAGGCAGAAAATTTTTCCCACAGTAGGTTGCCATTTCTTTCTGCAGTAGACAGGTCATCCACAAAGGCTAGAGGATCCAGTCTATCCTGCTATTCAACCTCTAGCTGAAGGGGAGAAAGGGATTAATGGATCCATAACCTTTCCCAAGGGTATTTGCACATGAATGTAACAAACCTGACTAGAATTTGAACTATGTTTTCCAATTCTCATTCTGACCTGTTATCCATTATACCACAACACAGTAGATGACCAACTAGATGACGCAAATATGTGTTGACAGGGTATTGGACAATTATTCAGAATGAATGCCAAGAATATCATGGACCAAACATGTGAGCATCAACAAAGTTTGAAAGAAAATGGACATCAGGAAGACTCAGTTGAAATTTCTAGGGCACATAAAGAGGAAAGAGTGAGTGGAAAATTTGATACTCACAGGACATGTTGTAGTCAAGAGAGACAGAAGAAAACAATGCATGATGTACTTAGCAAGCTTGAGTAAATAGATAGCAAGGTTTAGGAGAGATAACAAAAAGACAAAATTTATTAAGAGCTATGAAGGACAGGAAATTGTGGAGAGCCATAACTGCCCATATCCTGTAGGGACATGGCACATAGAAGAAGCAAAACTTTGGAAGTCAAGTAGAGTCTTATTTTTGTAGAGAGAGAATTTAAAAATTTTAAATGCATGATTTCCAGAAATGTTCAGATTGTTGTTGGTATATTTGTAACATTATATTGAGTAGGGGCTCATTGTTCTGGTCACTGAAATGTAGAACTAGCGTGTTTCTGTGGTAACCCCAAAAGTCTCAAGAAATCTTGGTCAAATGTAATAAAATGCCTGGGTTGTGACGGTTTGACAAGGAGATCTTTACTGTTTTTGTATTTACTTATCCTCACTTTCCATTCTTGCTGTAGATTTAGCATGATGGCCAATGTTATTGACCATTTGTTCCAGTCCTAGTTTTAGCAAATGATAACACCCCAAGCTCAGAATTAAAATATTGCAAGACCGAGTAGGCCACATGTCACAAAAGATTAAAGTTGATGAATTCCCAAAATCTTGGAATAATGACAAAAAAAGACCAGAATACCTTAATAAGATTTCCACAAAAGCAGTTTATTGTCGCCACTGGTGAGATCAGTGGTTTCCAAACAGTGTGATGGAATGATTGAAAGACAATCGAAGATTTAGAAATAGTTTCAAAAAAATTCATATGCCAAAATTAAAATGATTTCAAAATTTAAAATATTATTATAAATGACTTGTAATTGCATACATGAGTCCGAGTATAGTTATAAATTATTATTAACTGATTCTTTTGTTGTGAGATTTTTGCATTATATCAAGTATTAAGAATATATTAACTAGGATCCACAAATTGGAGGAGACAGTTATCAATGATAATGTTCTGACTTTGAATCCGCAGTTATCTCCCTTTAACCCTCACATTGTTTTGTTTTTTATATTTTTAAATGTACTTTTTATTACATAAATTTTCCTTCCGAAAATGTTGCCCAGAGAAAAAAAAGCTTGGGAACCATTGTTATTTCAAATTAAAATCCTCATTTCTACAATTCTAATTGACAGCAGTACACAGTAGTTTGAAATTTAAATCACTTGTTCAAAACTATGATGATGATAGAATAACAGTTGTAAATATCCATTTGCTTGTATTCAAAGGCTGAGGTGATAATCTGATGGTCTGTTCTAATTGGTGTTGCAACAATATGCTCTCAGATTTCCCATATCTTTTCCCTAGTTGTATACTTGTGTCTTCTATCTGGCCCCCTTGGGCTGTATCCAATGATCTACAAGAGCCACTCACAATAGGTATCCCAACTGCTCTAGTTTACAGTGCAAACAAGAAATTAAAAAACAAAAAACCAACAACAATTAAATTTACACCTCCATCTAGAACAATGTCTTGCCTTTAATCACCAATTGGTTTCATATCTCTGGACAACTTGAAATGCTTGCAAAATAAATAGAATGCATTTTGGAGGTGGGAAAGTGACTGAAGACAAGATGCCAGGTCAGGACCAATAACACTGTAGATTCTCCTTTGTATTTTATCAAGGCTCTCTCTCTCTCTCTCTCTATATATATATATATATATATATATATATATATATATATATATATGATTTGGAATATCTAATCACAACCTATCTAATATCTCAAAACTTATTTATTTTCTTAATTCTTTTTCCACATTTAAACTAATAATCATTTCATGTAAATCAAACATGCTTGCACATTCTCCCTCTTCCAAGTTTTATGTCATAAAACCAGGCACTTCTACATTTAACTTAGTCAACAACTGTCAAACCTCCTTGGGGCTCTATACACTCAACACAAGTGGGTTACCACTTCAGCAGATTAATAAAGACAATTAAATGAGACAGTATATTGTAAGAAAGTTGGGGTGGAAAAAAAGTGGGGAAAAAAAGGAAAAAAGAAAAAGGTAAAATGAAAAACAGCTTACTTTTGGTCAGGTAGATAAGCTAAAACATATGTGCCCCCAACCACGCAGAGTGTAACGGTGATAAGCATGGTCATGTTGTGAACGAATCTGTCAGAGTCCCTGTCCACCAGATCATAGCCAAAAGTTAGCCAATTCTGCAATAAGATCAAAGTAAAATTATTAACCTATACATCTTACAAAATTTAGAATCAAAACAAAGAGATGCTGAAAAGCTTTCAGTTCAAACTACTTCCTAAAATAAGTAGGATCAAGTATCAAGCAATTTTTTTTTTTAATTCCCTTCTTAGTTGGAGAAATTTTTAGCATCACCTTATATAACAATTTTATGAAAAATTCCATTGTTTATGTACCCCAATGGATAATAAAGTTGTTTATCTTTCTCAACATATCTTCAACCAATTTATATGTTGAAATTGTTTTTCACAAAAACTTAATTTGATAAATTTGACAACTTTGTTTTTATTACTGTTGATATTTCAATTTCATTGTTTTACTGCAAATTTGAATAAGTAGAGGAACATTTTTATATAGTGTGCAACAGAAATACCTCCCACATAATGGTAAGACATTAGTGGCAATGATGTCTGTCTACTGAATGTATTTACTAATATGTAGGAGGTATTTCTGGCTCACCTTGTAATATTAAGATGTTTCAAATTATTATTTTTTTTTTTTTTATATCAATCATATACAAGATGTTCTTCCTTCAACATAAACTCTGAATTTGTGGAGTTCAAATTTTGTAATATATTTAAGTTCCTTTTCTGCTAATTAGTATCTATTGTCTATTAGTATCGATATGTAATATAATATTTAGCCTGTAAGACTTGGTTAAATTTTCATGTTACATTTTTGAGTTGGTTGGTTGATTTTGTTTAGCAGCATATCAACATCTATGGGTTATTTAATGCTGAAATCTAAGCAATTGTATGTTTTCAACTACAGATAAAATGTATTGCTGGTAATTTCACTACAAACAGGCATTGCTGGTAATTTTTTTTTTTTTATATAATTCCATGCCCTTCAAAACTTCCAACTTCTTGATCAGAGGCCTTGCTGCCAGATATAGTTTATCGTCATACACAAGGCTATCAATAATGGGTAATACAGTAATTAGACTCAAGAAATTACCTATACAATAAACAAGATAGCATTTAATATAATAATACCTACAAAATTAATGTACTCTAACCTATTTGCTGCGTTAGACTCTTCTAAAAAAGATTAAATTAACAATTAGTTCTTTTTGTTATCTACCAATTAGATGTCAAAAATAAAATAGGCTATGTTATCTTTATTTTCATTAGATGAAGCATCATCTACCATTATTTTTTTTCTTGGTAGCCTTTTATTACAGGAGGCATGGTGGAGTAATGGATCATGTCTTGAATTGAGGAATCAGGGAGCCGAGTTCAAATTCCAGTTGAGTCTGTTACATTCACTTATGTGCAAACAGTATGAATCCATCTCTTCTCCCCTCCACGCTATGGATAAATAGCAGGACAGAGCGGCAACCAGTCTAGAAGAAGGATAACTCTGAATTCATAACCTTTAACTTTGAGATAAATAGCCTCACCAAGCCGCAATTGGCCAAACATAGTGAGTATGGTTACACCCCTGAAAATAGTCAATCAGAAAGAAGTTTGTCCAAGGAATGAGAAGACCCTGGATCTGTTCAAATGAGCTTACATTTTACTTTTATTATTATTATTATTATTATAAAAATCACAGCTTCACCCAGACTGCTAATCTATCAAAAAGAGGAGACAGTATAGGGGGGAAAAAAAAAAAAAAAAAAAAAGACAATTTCATAATAATTGTGTTTACATTTTTAGTTACAAAAATTTAAATAACTGCAATCTTCATACTATGTTAGAGATGTAAATACAAGGCAGGCACCAAAAGTAACACCTTTTTATCTCCATAGAAACCAGAATAGACACAAGGAGCACAATAGCATTAAAGAATAGAGTAACTATTCAGATACAAAATACTATTTCTCTATAGTTACCACCATTGGCCATACATTTCTGCCAACATACAGCATTTGTAAAAGTATCAACATAAGTTATTCACTTTTTCCACTATTAAAACACATTACCCACCACTTAACAGCTCACATCCTCTGTCTGGTCTCCATAAACAGTCACCAAATATTGATGAATGCCAATACCCCGATAAGTGGACAGACAGGTCTGTCTATCAAACTGGAGTCAGAATGCTGAAGGTAACATCAATCAGCTAAGTGACAAACCTTTTTACTTGTATTAATTACATACACACACACACACATATATATATATATATAGGAAAGAACATGTTAGGTAAATAATCTGAAGTTTTTTAGTATTTTTGTTTTTAATTTTTTAAAAACAGTGCTCAATATATAAGTAGATCCTAAATTATAATTATTTTTTAAAAATATGTTTCTTTGGAGACAACACAAAAGCTCCTATAATATTGGAAATAGAAATCAGATATCCCTATCCAAATATTTTTGGCATTTAAAAGATGAATAAAACACTAAAAGTAAAATAATAAATAATTTAGAAAAAAAAAAAAAAATCTTTAGACATCTAATGCCGTAACAATAATGCCAATAACTCTCTGTTGCTGAAACAGACTAAACGATATGCGTATAATGAATGTCATCATTCACTTTAAAATAGACACCCTGACCCTACCTAGACCTCTTTCCAAAAGTAACTAATATGTTGATACAAATTGTCAACCCTTACACCCCTTATTGAAATAATTGCTTCAGCCGTTTCCATAGTAATTAATTTTACGAATGAATATGCTTATAAAATGTGTAAATTTCAAGATTAGTTATTCTCAAAATTTCGCTTGAGGATGAAACAGCTTGATACTTTAATTCAATTTAGTTTTAATAATTATATTGAAGTTTTTGGCTCTTGTTTTTGAAACATGAGAACTCTTATGTAGCGAAGGAATCATTTTTAAAAAATAATAATATATATATATATATATATATATATATATATAAAGAAATAGTTTTACAGTGTGCTATATTTATGTGATAAAGTGCTGAATATCAGAGATAGAGTGTATGTAAATATAAAAGTGAACATTGAAGTCAACACTCAGAGATGACAGATGGTTTCATGCTAAATACAATCATCAGTCCATGTGTTGAATTTTTTTTCGACTATTTAAATATACATGTCAGTGGTGCATTGTGGGTAGTCTATTCTAATGGTTATTTTGGCAGGAGTGGTTTGTTAATTTGTTTAGATTAAATTATTTTAACTGTTTTTTGTTATTTATTTTTATATATTTTTATTTATTCTTTTTGTTTATTGATTTTTAAATAATGTAGTAAAAATTTTTTAGATGAATTCTAATCATTTATTTAGTAGTTTGACTTGATCTGGGAAGGTAATTCTAGCTATTTTTTCGTCCAATTTTTGGATTGATTGTTGTAGCCTACTCTAATGGTTATTTTGGCGAGAGTGGTTTGTTAATTTGTTTATTATTTACTTTATTTATTTAACGGAAACAGTTTCCTCCATGCTTAAACACAATCATCAGGCTCGACGATTGCATTTAAGCATAAAGGAGACCATTGTTACTGGGTGTTGACTCAATGTCCACTTGTATAGTTATATGTATTTATTCACAAATGCAAAATAATGCATTACTGCTTATCGCATAAGAAATTTCATTAAATGGTCAATGATTTTTTTTTAATCATTTCACCCGAAGCAAAGCAATAAAGTCACTAAGACACACGGAAAAACATTAAAGAGCAAGAACAATGAAAGAGGAATCAAGAAGACAGTAGATAGATGATTAACATTTCATTTAAATTTTTGAAGGTCAAAGTTGGCTGGAGAGCATAGAGCTGGAAGAGAGGTCCATAAACAAGAAGTGTGAGAAATACCGCTAGCAAAGAACTTATAGTTACATCTATCCATTTCAACAGTCAAATGATGAGACCTAGCTGCCAATCTAGTACTGCACTTAAATTCTATTAATTACTTCTAAAAATTAGCTTAAGAAAAATAGCCAATAACAATAGCTAAATAAATACAAATAAACCTAAATTTTTCAACAAGTGTTATCCTACCATATATGGCAAGTGTATTTAGATATAAGTACCAGTGTTGTTCACATGACAATAGTAGATGTGTTCAAAGAGGATAATGAAGTGGGGAGGTGGAGAGATTAACTCTGTGAAAGAGCAGAGTTTTTTTCTTTTCTTTAATGTTACATACCTTCAATATCATGACAGATTCCTTTTTATCTTTGAATTGACATGACTTTTTGGGAAAGTTCTTTCCCATTGCCTTCTCTATGGTTTTGAATTCAGATTAGTCATTTTCCAATAAAATAACCTGTTCAGTATTTTGTGAAAATTAAATAAAATTAGGTACCTCCAATAATTTTTTGAAAAAAAAAAGAAAGAAAAGAAAGCATAACATGATGAAAAAAGCCCCAAACTTGATCAAAATAAAGTTTTATTGTCAAAATGTTTATGCTGTTATTAAGAAGAAAGACCAAAGTATTTTTTGATTATTTGATTAAATTTTTGGATCCTTTCTAGCATGTTCAAAATTTTGGTTATAAAAAAAAAAAAAAAAAAAAAAAAAAAAAAAATCAAATAATTGTTTGATTTTAATGAAACTTACAGGATTTATTTACAATTAAATTATTTTTTAAACCACCCTTATTTAATGAAATTCCCAGAAATTAAATTTATTCATATTAGTTAAAAGTAAGACTCCTAGGAGAATATAAATTAACATTTTGTTTTTTCAAACAGTAATACATTTACCAAGAAATCTGCTCTGAATCATAATTTTAAAAAATGCAAGGAAACTGACATTATTTAATTAGAAGAGTTTTTAATTGCTTTTATAAGTAAGATATTAAGGACACTATTTTCTTAAGTTTTTTTTTTTTTTTTTTTTTTTTTTTAACAAGAGTTTCCATATTTTTTTTTAAAATTGAAAAATTTAGTACAATTCATCAAATACCAATATTTTTAAAAGAATTTTGTTTTTGTATACATACAAATAATAAATATGAATATTCATACATTAGCATTAAAAAGTCGTCTTTTAAAGGTTGTCTTATAAGCCTTTTAATATAAACTTACATATAACTATAAATTTCTTTTTTATTCAGTTTATATTTGAATTCTTTTTATTGCATGTCATTTTGAAATTGCCTTTCAAATTTTAAATATTAATTATTTTTTCAAAAAGCATCTTCAAACAAGGTTATAAAGCTAAAGTACCTAAAATTCAATAAAATATTAGATTTCTGAAAATAATGTTAATTTTTTAAAAATTACTGGGTAATTAAAATAAATTTAAAAATGAAGTGTTCACTTAGAATTTATAAATTTGTCACTTCTGATCCTCCTTAACTTTTCCAATTGTCAGACTATCAATAAATTGATTAATGTCAGAAAAACAAGTTTCCGCAGTTAAGCAATGCTTTTAGTTTTCTACTATGCTTTTTATTAACAAATTTAAAGTATAACTAATGATTTTAAACAAATATTACTTACTTTTGTAAGTAATATTTGTTTACAATCATTAATTAAACTTTAAATTTGCTAATTTTTCTCAAAAAATGTTTCAGAAACAGATTTATTTTTGTAAGATTTTTAACATTGGGAACATACTCATTTACAAATGTCACAAAAATGGATGACTGTCAATTTTACTGGGAAAAAATACAAGATTTTTTGACCAAATTTTTTAACATGCTAGAAAGAATTAAAAAATTTAATAAAATAATTAAAAAAAAATTACTTTGGTCCTTCCTCTTAATAACAAACATGGGCTCACTATCAGATTCTTTCACATGAATGCGGGTGTCTCCCAAGGCTCTATCCTGGGTCCTATGCCGTCTCTGATCTTCATCAGACCCCAAGTAGGCATTTATGCAGATGACACTACCATTTACTCTCGTCTCAATAGCAAATCCATCAGAACTACCAAAGTTAACCTGGCCACTGCTCTTGAAAAGGACCTCTAATCAGTGGTTAACTGGGGCAGGAAATGGCTTGTAAATTTTAATGCCTCCAAAACAAAATGTCACCAATTTAACCACCACAGAGAAACTTCCCTGCCTGCCATCAGCATGGCTGATGCTGGACCCCTGGAGATCATCTCACTGCACCTTCTTGGCCTCACATTTTCAACTGACTTGAAGTTGAACAATTATATTGAATCAACAGCTGCATCTACTGTAAGGAAACTTGGTTCATTGTGTCAAGCCAGAAGGTTTTTCTCATCAGAGTCCATCTTGTATACTTACAAATATACTATTCGTATTCATATGCATTGAATACTATTGCCATATCTGGTCTGGTGCTCCTGCTATTTATATCAAGGTCCTTGACAAAAATCAATCCTGACTTGGCATCTTGACTTCAGTCACTTTCCCACAGATGTGATGTCATTTCCCACTGTCTTTTCTACAAATATTTTCATGGCAACTGCTTTGACAAGCTTTTTCTCCCGGTGCCCTGACTACATGAATTTAAGCATGCTACTAGATTGGCATCTAGGTCTCACCTTTTTACTATTGAAATAGTTAAATGTAACCGCCACTTCTACCCCAAGAGTGGAAGTCCTTTCCATTTACTTACTTCTCTGAAAACTACAATCTTCAACGTCAATCGCCATCTTGAACCTAGTTTATCTTTTATCCTTTTCTCAATTCTCCCCATACCCAGCCTTTTCTCTCCCTTTCACTCTCTATAACCCCCTGTGTACTAGTGGCATCGCTGCATTGCTTGGTGTGAAAGGATTAAAAAAAACAAAACAAAAAAAACAAAAAAAAAAACCTTAGTACAAGGCTAACATGAGCTTGACCATTGTAACAATGCCTATCATTACTTACCCTTACAGTTTATATATAAAAAATGTGAATAAAAATGGTCCATATTAGAAATTTTTTTGCAGGTTTCTTTTTAATTGTTTACATTTGAAATGCACCCATCATTAGTGAATAAATACTGAAAATTTTGTTTGAATCGGATAATTCCTTGATTTTCGGCATTTTTTTTTTAAACAAGGGGTAAACGACGGAGGGTAGCTATTTTTTGGTTTCATTTAAGGAAAAAACGCATCCATATTTTTATTGGTGGTTGGTAACTATTGATATAAACATCAAAACACTGAAAAAGGCAAATAATTGAATAAGAAAATGACAGGTCATTTTATTAATCTAGCTATAAATAATAAAATGGTATTATTACTAATTTAAAAAAAAAAAAAAAAGAAAAAAAAAAGAATTTTGCTTGGACAATCTTCTCCAAAGCAAAGCCGTATCATTATTTTTAATTTTACAATACACGTGGACTATTGTACTTATCCTCGCCGCTGTTATCACAACGTTTCGGTCGTTTGTGTTCTGCGGCCTTCATAAGGTGTTTGTCATACGGATAACCTACAGGAAATTCTGAACAGAACCTTTTTTTATTTAATCTATGGGGGTACATTGGTTTCGATCCACTGCCCATGTGTAGGGATATCATCTAGTTCTTATTTTTAGGCTTTTGCACAGCTCTGTTATTGCTCTCCTGAATTGTAGAATTGATTGACATCATATCTGAGGACGCAACAACCGAAACCTTTTGCAAACAACAATAAAGATAAGGACACTAGTCCGTGTAAATAGTTTACAATTTTTACATTCATACTAATTAATAATGTCCTCATCATTATCACAATTTTGGTCGTTGTGCCCTCTGGCCTTTTTCAGGTGTTTGTCCTATCGAGATGAGGACAGTAGTCCGAATGTAAATAATAACCCTTCACCCTAGAAATACAGATTGAAGTAATAACAATAACATTGTTTCAAAAAAAAAAAAAAAAAAACTATTAAGATGAGAGTGGCTGTCATCACCAAAAATCAAAATTATTTTTAAACCTCAAATTAATTAAAATAACATGGTTTTAGAAAGCAAGAAAGAATTAATCCTGGAGTTAAAAATCTTTTTTTAAACGAAAGATAAGCCATTCCAATGAAAAGTAAGTTATACAAAAAATAAGTTTGAAGGACAAAAGAAGCAACATAATGAAATTTAAAATTGTGACAGAATTTGATTAATCAATTAAGAAATAATAAAATAACTTGAATGTGAATAAAACAATTTGTTAAACTTTTTTTTTTTACCGAGTGATATTTTGTTTCCTTCACAATTTCCAAAACGTCGGCTTTTAAAATATTCAGCACTATTTAAATATACTGTACATAACTAACTTCCAATTCTAGTCAGATCATTTGCCAACATCTGCTTAAATATGTGACCAGTTTATAGGAAACTTGTAAATTCATTTTACAAGGGCACATGCAGACTGTATGTGTTACTGTTTTTAGACTAAAAAACAAATAAATGTTACCTTGTCATCTTTAGGGTCGAGGTCTGCGAAATTCTTTTCTAATTCTTTTTGTAAAGATTCAGCTTTTGGTATAGGATCCACAGAAGTGATGACATCCTTGTTTTTCTTGGAGGTGGAAATAAAGCTGACCGGTTGAATGAGGCGATAGCGCGAGCCTAATTTGTTTAGAGGTCGTACTAACCTACAACATTGCCTCACAAGCGCCGCCATCTTGGATACCCTGATCTCATTTGATTTTTGCATCTCGAACACGAGAGGTGATAAAAAAGATTTTTTTTCACGTTGCTAATATTTTTTAATTTTCTTTACAATATTTTGTTACCTCAAGGAAATTAAGATGCGGAACCATCATAATATTTAAAAATATGAATATTTTATTAAATTAATTCAGCTGTCAACAACCGAGACAAGCCGTATGTTGTTTTTTTTCCAGCATGGCGGTGAATGTAAGCACTGATGCAGGTAGTGTTTTCAGTTGAATGTCATCGGTTTTTATTTAAATAATTTGTCATTTGTTTTGTTATTGTTTAGAATTGGTTTGTCAAATTTAAACTGTTTTCAATTTAAATTTATTCTACAAAAATTGATACTGTGTCTGTGCTGAAAGCTAAAAATGTTTGTAAATCTCTCTCTCTAGTCTTCATTCTCCAATCATGCAAAAAAACTCATTTGTCTAAGCGAATTTATTGGCAAATTGATGGATTGATTATAACTAAACCTCACCTATCCTGTACACACTATTAATCTCTTGGTTTGTTGTTCATTTTTTAGTCGTATAACACTAACAGTGACTATTTACAGATAAATAAATAAAAAAGTGCATTAAGTCGAATCCAAATCTTTGTCAATTAATTTCAAGTTCAGTTATGTTTCGATTTAGTTAAACAATCTTTTTGTGTATTTTTTAAATATATTTACATTTTGTCAACAACACGTTAATCTGGTTATTCCATTATATATATAGTTGTCCAAACTTAAAGTTTGAATCAAAGTGGAATTAGAAATATAAACACTTAACAGTCGCGAAGTTTCTTAGTTGTTTTCTTTCAACATTTACGAAAAGCTTATTGGAAACAACTCCAAATTATTTTAATCAAAATATGTGTTAGTTATATTATATATATAAAACAAAGGTTACTTATGCGTTTGCAAAAAGCAAAAAAAAAAAAGCCAAAATGAGAGATGATTCTTTTCATACAAAGGTTCACTTCTAATGTTTTTTTGATTGAGATGCAAAAAAAAAAAATACCCAAAAAACTTAGTTGCTGTTTAAATAAATGGAAATTAGATTTACCAAAGATTAGTTGACTTTTGTTAAGCAATTTTAAATTGATAAATATTGAGTGAATAATGTATTGTTTTGTTGGTGATATAACGCTATTGACGGGTATTTTATATTTCGTATGCTGATGAAACTCGGTTTTTACTTACCGGCATTTAATCACCGAAAAGAATTATACACACAAACTACATCACTACGTGGATGAAAAAAAAGCTTTGAATTTTTTCATGATTAATTTTGTATTAGCTATTTGTTACCTATTTGTTCCGAAATAGTGAAATTTAGAGTATTGACAAGTAGGGTCAGGGTTTAGGTCTCAGAATTCAACAAGTTTATGTTTATTTATTTAATGATCATTATTGACAACTTGACGTTGGTGTATTAATTCAGATTGTCATTGACATTGTGTTATTCTCCTCGAAAGACGAGGACAGTAATTCAAATAGCACAAATTATAATGACAGTTTCTAATTTAAAAAAAATCTAATTCAACATTTATTAACATTCTCGGAATTGGAAAAAAACAAAAATAAATAATAAATTCGAATGTTTTGCATTTCAAAACTATCTGGCTAATCCAACATTGAAGGATCTTCAAGCAAGTACCATTTATTTAAATAAGAAATGAAAATTGATTTTTTTTTTTTTTTGGCTGACATTGGTTTTACTTTTTGTTGGTTGTTTTTTTTTGTTTAGTGGCATCAACCGCTGTGGGTTATTTAATGCCAAAAGCTAAATATTTTGTACGCAATTTTATTTTACTTCATTTTGGAGGGGAGATAATAAGGGTTTTTAGACAAGTCTTACTAATTAACCCATAGATGGAGGATAAGAGGTGGATTCATACCTTTCACATAAGTGAATATAACGAACCCAACTGGAATTAGAACAATACTAAGCTTTTACCAATTACACCACCTGCACATATTCACAAGCAGTCACCCATCTAGGTACTGACCAGGCTTTGCATTGCTTAACTCTCAGTGAACATATGGGAACTGGTGTTTCAATGTAATGTGCCTGTAAACCTGATAATAGTTTACTTTAGTTAAAAACATAAATTAAACTGCATTTCATTTTCTGATAGTATCTTTGTTTTACACAATTTGGATTTTTTAAAAACTTTATTTTGATTTTTCAAAAACCTATTGGTCGCAAAAAGCTGTACTTTATTTAGAAACGATAAATATAAAATAAATTAATAATTGATGTTGGTCTCTATGTGAAATCTATATAAATAAAGTGCAGTATACATGTGTCCGTCCATTTTTTGATCTTGGTGAATCATAAACCACCTAAAAAGTAACAGGTAGTAACTACTGTATTTACATGCGATTAAAAATTAAATAAATAACTCATTTAAAGTTAAATATCAAACAGAGTGAAAGGTTTAAAAAACAACTTTTATTAAAGGTTTAACTTTAATTTCGCTTTTTGCTGCAATCATCTTAAAACCATATTTAAAACTTACGTGGTGCATGTTGCTCATATGTTTGTTTTTTCTTTTTCTAACATGCATACTGTGATATATTTGAAATAATACATAGTTTGGGTTCCCTAATGTCTTTTAAGAGTGACTTTATGTGTAGAGATCCTAAAAAGATGATTTTTTAAAAGAAAATAAAAACTGCATGCAAACTACAGAGATTAGTTGCATATATGAAGAAAGATTATGCCAAATTAAGGTGTTGAATAAAGATAAAATAATTTTATTATTTCTAAATTCTTATAAATTTTATGTACATAAGGCACTGAAGATAAAATCCTAAAAACCCCAAAGTCCTCTGCAGGATCTCTAGCCTAAAGTCTGCCCAAAAGATGACCTCTAGGCTAGTAAAAAATCACCTTTAAACTTGATGATGATTTTTTAATATTTTCGTCATTTATATATAAGGCACAATAGATATATTTATTTTTTGTAAAACTTTTCATCATGCCACACTGATCTGAGGTAGAGGGCTGGGGAGTGACACTTTGATCCAAGAAATAGCACCCAAGTATTCTGATCCTTCAACAGAAGTTCCAATCCATATGTTGACAATACATTCATTTTTGACAGGTACTACATTAATTTTATGAAGCCATTTATTCTAATCTTAATTTTCCCATTATTTTTATTAATTAGTCATGATAATTTTTCATATTTGGAAAACAACATTTTTCTTAGCTACAAAATAAATACAATCATTATTTTGTGGGTAAATTTTATTGTTTACACAGGGGTTTGTCCTTGCAACATTTTGTCATACATTTTGTAGCAGATCTCTCATTTGATCATCAAACAGTTTAAAAAGAAAAAAGTTAGCATTTGAAACAACTTGTATATACTAGAAAGTACTTATCTCCCTTACATTGCATGTACATATTTTTTAATTAATTCATATCCTAAGATCTTTGTTTTTTTGATTTACAAAGCCATTATTTTGGGAATAAATAACACCTAAAATGCAGTATAATTTTTTCCTACTATTTTTTTTTCTTTTTGTATGTAAAAAATGAAATTTAATTCAAGATTTGTGACTGGTAAACTAATGGATTTGAGAAACAAAAATCAAGTTCTAAAAAGTCCAAACTATCTGTACATGAAATAAAGCAAAAATACCATCTGAAAACAACATAATTTATTTTCAACCAATGTCTGTAAAAATCTATTTTACCAATTCTGAGTTTTATTGGCCACAAATGTTGAATTAGGTTTTTTGAAATGAGGAATTGTCATTATAATTTCTGCTATTTGAATTTTCATTGTTATAGATATTATATACACAACATTTCAGCCATGTACCTTCTGGCCATCTTCAGCAGGAATGAGCAAGAAATGGCACCATAGGGACAAGTAATACAAGTAATACAACTTGTCGATACAAATCCAAAATAAATGTTTGCTGAAGATGGCTGGAGGATACACAACCAAAATGCTGTAAATAATGACATCTGTAACAGGGGCATGTTAGTGTTATTGATTAGCGGTGGATGCATTATCTCTGTTAAGTTTCAAAAGTAAAAATGTTGAAGCAAGTGAAAATGGTGGGAATAGGATTTTGCATTGGATAGAAATTGACATTGGCTTAGGTTGGGAACTTGGCAAGATCTAGTGTTGCATAGAATTATGGATAGAATAAAGAGAAATACATGGAGTAATTGCTCTACAGCTGAGAGGCCATATAAAGAATCAAGACACAAATTAACAATAGAAAAAGGAATTATATGTAATTGAGATATCATAGTATTGCCACAGTCTCTGAGAAAAGAAGTAATTAAAGCTGTGCATGATAATGTACATGGAGGTATATTGGCTACGCAAATGAAGTTAAAGTTGTAAGCATGGTGGCCAGGCTATTCAAGAGACATGGAAAAGTATGTTAAAAAATGTCCAAACTATGCAGAAATAAAGAAATTTAGGCAAACTAAAATTCACTCTTGGCCAAAGGAAATAATGACGTGGGCATGAGTCATGCTTATATTAAAGGTATAGGACTATTTCTTAGGATATTAGTTGACTCATATAGAAAAGCAGCTACTGTGAAGCGGGTGTTGAGGATAGTGTTTTTGAGTAATGGAGTTCTAAAAACCTTGGTCTCCAACAATGAACCTGAGTTTCATGAAGAAAATGTATCTTCATAGTTAAAAAGTATTGGCTGCATTCCATACAAAAATCCGCCATTCCACTCACAGTCAAATGGAATTGCAGAGAGAATGGTTCAAATGGTAAAAATGAGATTAAAATCATTCTCTCCAGTGTATTGTGATACAGAGAGTTATTTATCCAGATTACTCTTGAGTTATAGAGCTATTCTGGTACAGAAAAGGACAAGGATTCAAGTTCTGAAAAGGCGAATCTTGTGGTGCAAAAGGGATTTAATACAGCTATTTTAACAAAGTGGCAAGTCATATGGGCTCACAAAGACCAATTTAGAACTACAAGAGCATGAAGTTATGGAAAAAGAAACATAACAGATGACACAAAAAAGGATGAATGAATCCAGTATTGAGAGTGATCAGGAAGACCATCAGAGATATGAAAGTGAAGAACAGGAGAGGGAGGAGAGAATGAGTGTATTCAGTACTAGTGAGGAACAATCTGGGGATGAGAGTGATCGGAGATATTGTGATGATTCAAATGAGGAGAATCAGTTAAGAACTAGATCTTTCCTAAACAAGAAATAAAGAGAATCACTCTGAGAGATGTATTATGTCTCCCAGGGATGTTCGTAGAAGTCAAAGATCAACTAAAAGTATAAAGGTTCAGGGAGGTGTAGTAGTAGTAATATGTAAATGAGGTACTGTATAAAAGGCAGTATCGCTATACCTATGAAAGAGTTATCTTCTCTTGATGAGCCTGCATCTGTCAGAGAGAATACCGATCTTAACAATATGGAATTATACAGTAAACATTGTTTATAGTCATAGTTTCAATTATATTACCATATGCAGTAAATGTTGTTTTATTTTAGTCATAGTTTCAATTCGAGTACCATGTCCAATAATCCAGTATATAAACTCTAATTCTAGGTATGTACTTAGCTTAGCACATTGTCAGTTATCCAGTGGGGAATTGAATACACTACATATTAGCAGTGATCTACTAGACAAGTGTGTGTAATATTCCTCTATGAAACTAATTTATTAGAAATTGAAAAAAAGTGAGGTCTCAGGATATGAACTAATTAAAAAATATGTACATGCAATGTAAGGGAGATAAGTACTTTCTAGTATATACAAGTTGTTTCAAATGCTAATTTTTTTCTTTTTAAACTGTTTGATGATCAAATGCGAGATCTGCTACAAAATGTATGACAAATTGTTGCAAGGACAAACCCCTTTGTAAACAATAAAATTTACCCACAAAATAATGATTGTATTTATTTTGTAGCTAAGAAAAATGTTGTTTTCCAAATATGAAAAATTATCATGACCAATTAATAAAAATAATGGGAAAATTAAGATTAGAATGAATGGGTTCATAAAGTTAATATAGTACCTGTCAAAAATGAATGTATTATCAACATATGAATTGGAACTTCTGCTGAAGGATCAGAATACCAGGGTGCTATTTCTTGGATCAAAATGTTATTGCTATGTTAATTTAAAGTAAGTATTGTAATTTTCACATTTTTGTTTGGTTCATAAGAGGGGTGAAAGTTTCTCAGGCAGACCAGAAAAAAATAATTCTGAAGTTTGGTTTGATTTTGAGAAGTAGGTTGGGCCAAAAATATTTTAGCACCCCCACCCTGATTGTATGTTACAAGAAGAAACAAAATGAATGATATCCAAAGAAAATAATAATGTTCTGTTGTATAAGATAAAAAAAAAAAAAATTAAAAATTTACCCTGATTTTCTTGTTCTTGTTTAGGTTGAGTTTTTGCCTGATTATATCTTGTCGATATGCTGTTCGATTGCTTGTGTCTTGGACATTCAAACCAAATGAAATCCAATGGCCGGGAATCCTATTTTCACTAGCCAGAAACGGAAATTCACTTACACAAGTGCTGAAAGCAGCACAAGCATCAAGCCCCCTTTAAAACGAAAGAAGAGCAAAGAAAACATTGCTGGCGGGCAAGCTGATGAGTTTGACGAATGGGATGATGACCTAAAGTTAACTCAACAAGAACTGACAGATATTGATGTTGCTGCTTCACAAGCTTATGTCCAGACGTCGAATGCACCCAGTTTGTGCCAAGGCACTAATCAAGCCCCTATAAATTTACCAGCACCATCCAAACCTGCTCCACACCCAAGTAGAGGTCCACTACAAAATGAACCAAATATTTATATTCCAAAATTGGTGCGCCAGTCGTCTTCCACATCTTCGTCCAGTACATATCCTATTTCATCATCAGCGACATATGAATCGTGTAGCTCTAACCATAGCACAAGCAGCAATGGTCCAAGGGCACCTCTACAGCTTGGTAGAACGGGCAGTACCACTGCAGCTCCTAGTGTCCAGAGGTTTACTCCTGGAGCCACTACTAACTTTCCAAATAACCTGATGGCAGAACTGGAACAATTGAGAGAGGAAATGAAGAAGGTAAAACTTGAAATTCTTCTTTTTTTAATGTTGCTTTTGTACCAATGGTGTTATAATTATTCCTTTCTAGAAAATAATATTTTGAAGTGCAAATTTAAGCTACCATATATACTCACGGATAGGTCACACCCTTAACTTGGAGTTGCGAAAGTGGCTATTTGTGGTTGATACACAGATACGACACACTATAATCTGTGGAGTTACATGTCTCTTTATTTAACGTAAATATAACTAATATTTGTTAAATAATATTTTTGAAACTTCAAACTCTCTTTCTGCAGATCTGTTTCCATGTTCCGCAAAATCTACCACTTTCAACTTAAAACCTACTTCATAACTCTTTCTCTTACTCATAATTAGGGTTTTCATTTATTAAAATTTGTAAACAACTGGTACTAGTAAAAATCAGCATGAATCGAGTTTTTGTATACCAGTAACTGACTACTGTGCACTGAATAACTGTAAGTGAAATTGTGATTGATTGTAATTATGTGGTATTTACTTATCAGTAATTGCTTCAGTCCTAAAATCACTTGAAAATGATAGTCTTTTGTCATAAATCAGATAATAGATGGTAAATATGAGCAGTGCAGATCAAGCAATTTTATTCAATGTATGACATGGTACTGTTGGAAGAGGCAATTGTATAGAATGGAAATGTCAAGGAAAATTCATATTTGAATTGCTTGAATCCAGATACTTGCCTGGACTACTGATATGCCACAATCTACTTCAGATTCTCCATGATGTTGAGGAAATAGGTCACAGCCCTGATTTTTATCGTAATTTTGGTTAAAAAAAAAAAAAAAATGTGTGACCTATCCTTGAGTATATATATGGTATACAAAGGGAACAGACTCCTCCATTATTACTCCTGTGAACACTTCAGTCTTTTCCTCTTCAAGTCATAATTTTCATTTCTTCCCACCTTTTCTTACATTAATATAACACGCTTGTTGATCATTACTATTTTGTTGATTGTAACTTTTTTATCTGGAGTGTGTGTGTGTGTGTTTTTTTTTTAAAAACAAAAACATTAGCTTTACGGCCATTGAAGGTGGCCTTTAGTTTCTGTGTTAAATCTCTTCCTTTGTATAGACTTTATATTATAATTATTTGAAAACAGATAAAGGGAGACTCTGTAATTAGGCAAACTTCAACTACCTTTAAAATTTACTTGTATTTCTACTAATCCCTAATCAGCAGGAGTTTTATGTTAATTGTACAAACATGCTTACAAGGCTTAATTATAGCATGATGGATTCTTCAATCGTTTTATAGAAAATATAAGCATGCACACAATATAAAAAGAAAGCAGCTTGATATAGATTTTCTTTTTAAATTTTGTAACAAACATACAAAAATAGGATCATTATTATCGGTGAGTGTTGATACAGACTCCATGCTATTAGTAACTTTTCAGTTTTTTCCTCTTTCAAAGTTACTATGGATTTTCTCTTTAAATTTTGTAATAATTATACAAAAATTGGCTCATTATTATTGAGGTGAGTGTGGATACAGGCCCCACACTATTAGTAATCTTTTCATTTCTTTTCCTCATTCAATGTTGATATCAATTTTCTCTTTAGATTTTGTAACAAATATATAAAAATAGGATCATGATGTGTATGTGGCATAATGGTTATCAGTATGGAATTCAGAATTAGTGAGATGAGTTCAAAATGAACATAGATTTGATGGGAATTTAATTGTTCACATATTCTATTTTCTACTTTGTACAAATACCCTTGGGAAAAAAAAACATGGTTAAATAGCAGGGTAGACTGCACTCTCTAGCCTTGTATGGTAGCCAATCTAGGACTACTACTCTGAATTCAAAACTATGGTGATAGTAACAGAAAACAATTCCACTATCTTTTTTCTTAGAAGTCATGGCAATTTGCAGATAATAAAGAAATTGAATATATGGAGAACCATGATCTCATACATTCCGAAGGGTCATTACATTTTAAAAAACAAATAGACAAAAATTGGATTGTTATTGTTATAGTGAGCATGAATACTGACCCATGTTTAAATTGGTTTGAAAATATTTTATTTTTCAGTTTAGTGCATTTTATTTTAATGGTATTGTCCTCTCTGCAATGTGAATTGTTGCTATATTACACAACAAACAGGAATTTGATTATAATATAGATTCTATGGAAATAATTGAAAACTGTAGAGTAATTGGCAGAAATGCCTAACAAACAGAATTCACAAAGTTTACAATAAACAATAACAAGAGAAAGAAAAGAATGGCAAAAATAATATTAAGCAAGCAAATAGTATGTGTAATGCAAAGCAACAGTAATAATGCAAAAAGTTCACAAAATGAAAATACTGTTAACAAACGAATGGGGATGCAGACAAGCAATTGTGGCGTTCTGACTTCAAAACAAGAAGAAAAAAAAACAGAACTACGTCAGATGAGACTGAGAAGTAGCTTATCTTCTTGGCTAGGAAAAAATCCCAGCATGCATCTGTATGTTTTATTTATAAATTTGTGGAGGGGGATGTTTTTGAAGACATTCCTATCTTGGATTGGAACCAACTAAAAACAATCCTTTGGATACTATTATTAATTTTTGACTAGTCTATCTTCCCTCTTAATTTCAGTTTTTCATTACAACTACTCAGTCCATAATTTTATGGCCCTTAGTAAACTCTATGGTAGTGGTAATATTAACTGTTTCCTTATAAGGAAACATTTAGCATTTATTGACTGACCAGCTCGTGTGATTTTTGATTGAAATTTATAAAATCTTTCTCTTAAAACAATTTTTCAGGAAACTCTTTATGTGCCGTGTCCTTCAGGATGTAGATGATCATGGCTCTCCACAATTTCCTGTCCTTTGTAGTGCCTAATAAATTTTCTCTTTTCGTTATTTTCCTAAACCTTCATCACCCATTTACTTAAGTTCATCAAGTATGTTGTGTGTTGTTTTCCTCTGTCCCTCAATCTGTCCTGTGAGTATCAGATTTTCCAAGCCCTCTTTCCTCATTTGCTCTAGATATTTCAACTGTCTCTTCCTGATGTTAATTATAAGCTTCCTTTTTGTTGCCATTTTCTCTAAAATATCGTTGCTCACATGTTTGGTTTATGATATCCTGTAGAACCACATTTTTGTCTCTTCCTCATCTTTGAGGAGATTGTCCAGCATTTATAGTCATATAGGAGGACAGATATCACGTAACAGTTCAGTACTCTTTGTTTCTAATGAAGCTCTTCTGTCTCTTAATACTCTACTTAGCTTTTGGAAAGCATCTTTGGATTTCAGTGTCACACTTTCCATCCTCTATTAGAACACTTCCAGATATTTAAATTTTTGTACTTGTTTGATTTTGGTATTTCTGTTATTTGCAATTTGCATTTTGGGCTCATCCTTTTGCTAACAACCATGCATCCTGTCTTCTTGCAGTTTTTAGGTTTCTCAAGTCCAGTAATTGTTATTGCTCTTTGTTATATTTTCGTAAAGAAAATAAAAGAAAAGAAAATAGGAAACTATCTTTGCTGTCCACGTCAAATAGGAAACTATCTTTTTCCACGTGACTTTTTCACACGTCCCCATTCCTCTTTAAAAGCTGCGTTCTTCTTCCTTTGTGGATTGCTGCTGTGAATTAAGTTCAGTAAAGCCTTAGTGAAAGGTTACTAGCTTTCTTCTCTGAGCAACGTAACAATTTACTGAACTTACTTCCTCATGGACAAGATTATTCGTCTGGACAAGTTTGATATATCTTCTGCAGACCCTCAGGCTAGCAAGCTCTGGAGACTATGGTACCGTAATTTTAATTATTACTTATCAACTATTGCTTCGTTAAACCCTGACAAACTCAAGTCCTTTATTTAAATATCGGTGCTACCGTTGCTGATGTTATCGAGGGTTGTTCTGGATTTGAACATGCTGTTGAATTGCTGAGAAGTGTTTATGACAAGTCTCCAAGTATTATTCACGCTAGACATTTGTTGTCTACACGTCTGCAGCAGGAAAATGAGTCTGTAGACCAATACCTTCAGGCCTTGAATCGACTTGCTGCTGACTGTTGCTTTCAAGATGTTACTGCTACTACTTACAGGGATGAATCTGTCCGTGATGCATTTATCGTGGTCTCCGGTCCCCGTAATCGTGCCAGACTGCTTGAAAATGATCGCTAACTCTCAAGGAGGCTACTCAATGTGCTAGAGCCTTAGAACAGGCTCACTTTCGTGCTGAGTCATACACTTCTCAGATTGGATCAACTGCTGCTACTACCACTAGGACTAAAAATGTGGTTACTGATTCTGCCGAGGAGGCCACTTCCACTACTACTACTACTACTAAAAATATGCTTTCAGACTTAACTGATTCTTTAAATGGAGTGTGACTCTGTACAATTGTCTGCTGCCTTTGCTCGTGGCAAGTGCTACAACTGTGGAGGAAAACGTCACTTTAAGGATAATCGTCGCTATTGTCCTGCCCGTGATAAGATATCTCGAAACTGTGGCAAACTTGGTCATTTTTCTAAAGCTTGCTGTTCTACCATGCCGGCACCTTCACGTTCTACTTCAGCTATTATAGTAGCCCGTGCTAAAGACGATGATAGGTCTCCTCCAGTTACTAAAACTTTAGAATTAAAAGGAAAGAGATTAACTGCCCTCATAGACACCGGTAGTTCTGATAACTTTATCAGTGCCCGTATTGTTAAAACAATGAAACTGTCTACTTCTAAACGGAATTCCGTAATTTCCATGGCTTCATCTGCCATTTCCTTCAAACTATCTGAATATTGTACTGAGGACATTATCTTCAATGGTTACGAATATAAACAAATTGACTTTACAGTACTTCCTGATTCCTGTATGGATATTATACTCGGAGTGCCCTTCTTAAAACTACACCAGAGTATCACTATTTCTTTTGGTGGATCTCAGGATATTCTAAAAATCTGCGCTCTGACCAAGATCAGTTGTGCTCCTGTTAAGTTGTTCCGAAACTTGACCCCTGATTGCAAACCTATTG